CAAACTCTACATAATTAAAATGAGTGTGTACTATGTTGATAGTACCTCTTATTTTTTAAATGTACTCTTTCTAGATATTATCAACAATATGAACAGCACAACCTCTGGTGCCAGAAAAATGAATTACCATTTCAAAACAATTACAAAGGGCTGGGGATTTAGCTCAGCGGCATAAGTGCCTGCCTTGCAAGCAGGCAGTCATGAGTTTGATCCCCGGTACCGATTAAAAAAAAAAAAAGATCCCATCAAAACAATGATCTACAAGCCATATGGCCACTGAAAAGCCTCTGTGCAATTTCAGTTTTCTGATCCTAAAATGGATTAATTATCTCTCCCCCAATGATTAAGAAAAAGAAATGCTGGTTAAAATATAGTACAACACCTAGTATATAAGAGACTCAGATCTCAGACTTGGGTAAAGCAACTTTTAAATTTTAAGTATGAAAATCATAGATCATTCACCTGCAAACTCTTTTGTAGTTTTTTGAACTAGTCTGACATTCTTTGTTCACTGTTTATTATGGTTTTACCTGACTTCAAGCACTGGCACCCAATGTCAGTTCCTGCGAGTTCACAGTAATGTAACAGCAAGCACTGAAGTTCATTTACTTTAGAAAATATTCCATGACAAATATGTTGTAAAAGGAAATGAGAAGAATCCAAAGTAAAAAGAAAAAATACCAACTTTCCCAAGCAAGAAGAATGGCAACAAAAAATGCTGCACTCTTAATTATCTTCTATAAAGTAAAGCAGTAGTTAATTTCCCCCTTTTACGCTACTGTTGGAGTTTTATTCAAACCAGCAGCCAACCAAAGAAATAATACTGCCACAGGCATTTGCATACTGCTTCATCTTGTATTTTTCTGCAAGAGTATTTATTAGGATAAGGATGTTACTTTTCATTTTACTAAATGAAGATACTAAGTCAGATAAAATGGCTTACTCAAGACCACATAACCAATAAATGGCACAATGTGGCTGTGAAGGCAGATCCCGGGGCTCCCCATCATCTTGGGCTCCATGACACTTTTTCTAGTTCTTAGGGGCCTGTCTTTAACCTGACCTTTTTAGTTAAAAAGACCAATCAGTTGTAGTATGTCATACTTACCTCATAACCATTTAGGAATATCTGGTTATTCTGGGTGGCAGAAGTTAACTCTGTCAACAAGTAAGAGCTTATAACGTGATCAAAAAATAAAAATTCAAAACACTTTTTTCCAGTAAAGGAACCTACAGAGTGACATAAATAAGAATCTATACCTCGTCCTTCTCTCCCACCCTAACATCCATCTCACGTGTACACACAGATATCCAGCTTCCCTGAATTGCACACAGCTCTGAAGGGGTAAAAAGACAATCGCAGTACCAGGTCTGTGTTACTGTAAAATGGATCATCAGGGCTGGGGATTTAGCCCAGCAGCGAAAGCCCCTGCCTGGCAAAAGCGCGACTGTGAGTTCGATCCTTGGTACCAAAACAAGAAAAAAGGAAAAAAACGGATTATCATTCCATCTTCTACCCATGTCCTCATCAACCCAAAGGCTGACTCCAATACTACAGACCTAAGAGAAGATACACATGAAAGTAACAGCACCCCCGAATTTACAGTGCTAACACAGCATGATGGCAGAAGCACAGTGTCCAAATGGATGCCCGTCTCCATCAGCAACAACTACAGATTAAAGACTATTTAAGTGTACTTAAATGTTAACTTTGCAAGAACAGAACATCAAAGTCCACCAGGGATATTTTGTACCTTCATCCTGTGCATTTGGCCAATACCCAGAAATGTCTTTTACAGATAAAGAGTTCTAAAATGTATCTCCTCTATTTGGTATTCTAGATATTCTAAACTGAGTTGGTACATCTAATTTAAATCACTGCTTCCTTCTATAGAGCCTAGCACCTCCAAGGTGTTATCTTGAAGGGGAAGCAAGAGATTTGCTAACGTCATTAAACACTGCATTGTGCCAACACTGTGTTGACACCCAAGCCAGCTGTTTTTTTAGTTTTGGTTTGGTGTGGCGGTGGTGGCAGTGTGAGTGTGTCTTCAGACAAGGTCTCATTACGTCCCTCACCTTCCCCCTGCCTCAGCCTCCTAAGTACTAGGATTACAGGCCTGCGTCATTAGACTCAGCTCAGTCCAGTTCTATCATACAACTTTGAGAAATGTAATCCTAACTCATACTATTTTAAAACTGAGGTTAAAAAAAGGAAAACACTGACAAAGCTCAGTTGTCCCACTATTTGATAATAACCCAAGTATCAGCATTTCCTAAACTACAATCATTCTAGTCACCTAACCTGGTTTACAAATCCCACACAAAAGAAGACTAACAGGTGATTTAGAGGATAAAACCACTCTTTCTATTATCCTTCAGTTCAAAGGACATCCTTAAAAAATGGGTAGGACTCAAGTTTCAGGATTTCTTCTTCATGAAACTTAAACAGCTACACCACAATACTAAGAAGTACCACTTTTTTTCTTTCTTTTTTTTTTTTTTGAGACAGCCTCTCCCTATGTAATTCAGGCTGGCCTTGAACTCACAGGGATCTTCCTGCCTCAGCCCACAGAATGCTGTGAGATTCAGACAAGTGCCACCCCACCCAGCTTCTAGAAGAATCACTTTTAAGAATTTTTTTTTAAAGCCATGTAAAAATGCTTAAAAATTACCATTACAGCTACCAGAAAAGAGTCGGCCACTTAAGTGAGGCACTGTACAAAGTACCTCCCATAGTTTCAATCATTTCTAAGAACACTGTAAAGACATTACATAGCCCTTACAGGACAGGAAACGGAAGCTTTCAGAGGTTAAGTGTTCAAGGTTAGGAATCTCCTAAGGTAATGTGAGAATTTGGACTCAGATTTACCTAGCTCCAAAGAGTGTGTTTCCTCTTAAAAATGTGCTACCATCCAATTTCATAGTGGAAGAATAGGCAGAGCTGTGAATGTTTGTCCAGCAGTTCTAATAATTTCACCAAAGGGGCAGATATCTATATTTCTAAATTGCAATCCTTTTTGAAATCAAGAGCAAACAATTAAAACCCCATTTCTTTGCAAAAAAAAGTCATCAGATTAAAAGAATAGTTAGAAATCCTTTTAAAGTAAACTAAACTTCATCACATTTGTGCCCCTGAATCATCACTCTGGACAAATCCCCAACTAGTGGCTCTCTTCTATGAGCACCACCACCAGCCAGTTTAAAAAAAAACACTTCACCCACTTCAAACAGATGCTGAAGGCCTGCATAATGTTAAGACTTTCTGGCAAAGGGTACAAAGCTAAATAAGGCCCATCACAGGCCTCAAGGAGTTAAAGGGGAAGGAGTCCTTCTCTACTAAGAGCACAGTTAACCATGTTGCCAGACAAACATATGAACTGTGAGAAATCCTAAAACAAGCGTATGTATAATACACTATCACAGCCAGACGACAGAAAGCAACTGGTGCACTTGTCACATTACATGACAAGTAGTATCTGTTTACATTATATCACTCCCTAACAACTCCTTCCCATCTCTTCCACCTCCCTCACAATGCCCCCTCTACACACAACCAGAAAACAAAGCCAAAGAGTAAACTCAATGCCTATGCTTTAATATTTTACTTTGTCTCCAGCAAAGGAAGAATGTTGGTTTTCAAGCTAAATGAGGCCCATCAAACCAGAAAAACCCAAGGACACTTCTCAGTATTACTCCCTTAGTATGAGTAACTTAAAGCAAAATATCACACACAGAATTTCCCAATTTTAACAGATGGCAAAGGACTACAATTTAAATGAACATCACATGATAGTAGTCATTTTGCTCCACTATGAAGGAAGGACATTAACCTAGCTGTATCTGGGTAATTTAAGTAGAATTATTCTATAAGCCCAAAGAAACAAATTCAGTGGAATGGGTACACCCAAAACTTAATGCTCGTACTTAACGCAGTCCTCAAATCTTCAAGAGACCATTAAGACAGAACAGTAACACTGATTTATACGAACTAATCAAATCTCCTTTGCAAATTTGCAAAGAATGATCTTTCAAGAACTGAAGCATTTGTCCTGTTCTGGTCAACTCAACAGTGTAGAAAAAACTGAATAAGCCTCTTCTTCTGAAAACGGGGTGAGGGGTGGGGGGGTAAGTAACCCAAAAAAAGACAAACTGCTTTGTACTTTGCATTTGCCTGAAGCAATAAACTCTCAAAATAACTTCATTATGGAGTGTAAAAAGCAGAGAATGAACAACAAAATATTGCTCAACTTTCATTGTGAATTCCTGAGTAGGATCTAGAAATAATGTGATGAAATCTTTCTACTGGAAGGTTTATTTTTTCAGTCTACACTTCTTTAAAGAAAAAATTTTAATTGACTGTTTTCCGAGGTTTTTTGTTTTTTTTGTTTTTTTGTTTTTTTGGCGGGGGGGGGGGAGTCCTCTTACATACTGGTTGAGTTTGAGAGGAAAAGAAAAGTGTTAATTGAGCACACTTGCAAAAAGAAAGAAAAAAATCCTTCTTCTGGTCTCGAAGTGTGGCAGCACTCTAGCCGGGTGACAAGCTGCAGCACTCGGCTGCACGGTTCCCGCAGCGCCAGTGGTCGCGCGGGTCGGGCGCGCCGCGCCCCCGGGAGAAGGCGCGGAAAAGCCCCCGCAGGCGGGCGCGGCCCAGCGTGTTTACCCTGTTACCGCGCGCACGGCCCGGGGGAGCCGCTCCCTGGCGCCCGAGCACTTGTTCGCCAGCGCTGACTCGGTCGGAGTGGCGCGCCCCCCGCGCAGCTGCTCGCCCCTGGGGCCAAGCGAGGAGCCCTGGGGACCGAAGAGCCGGGGAGACCGCGCCCCCCATCTCGGCTGGGGTGGCGGCCCGCAAACGGACCGCAGGAGCAGCTCGGCGGCCGGCGGCAGACAATACGGAGGAGGGGTGCGGCGGTGCGGCCGCGCGCCCGCGCGCCTCGCCTCGCCTCGCCCCTTCCTCACAGCTCCAAACTTCCCCAACTCCGTCAACGAAGTTGCGCTCTCACCTTGCGGCTCCCGGGGCTCCCCCCGAGGGCCGAGCCGGAGCCGCGCTGCTCCTTCGCCGCGGTGAAAGACAATAGGCGGCCGCTCCCCCAGGGTCGGCGGCGGCTGAGGCGGCGAGGAGCGGGCACGGCGGTCTCAACGGGGCCCAGGCGCTTCACCGCGGCTGCTCCGGCTCCGCGCTAGCCTTGCACACAGCCCCAACCGACCTGCGCATGCGCCACGAGCTGCCCGGGAATGGGCGGGGCGCCCGAGAAGGCAGCCGCGCCTCTGAGCCCTCCCATGAGTACGCGGGATTTCCAGGGCTGAGAGCTGGGATTGCAAGGCAGAGCTGCCCATTGAACTCCGTACAACCAATAGGCAGGGTGCTGGGCGGTGTGTTCAGGTTGCTAAGGAAGGCTGAGGTTGACCGCAGCTGCTGCCAGGCGGCGAAGTGATCAAAGTCGGTGGCTGGCAGCAGCTGCTCGTGGAAGTGCCCACCCACCTTCTCCTCCCGCCCCCTCTCCGGAAACCGCCCTTCCTCTGTTGCCTGGTGCACACCTGAACTGTAGCACTTGCCACACACACTGAAATGATTTACTGTTCTCTTCCTCTCATTCTAATCAGGAAGTGGTGTCTTCTCGGAAACTAACGTAGGAGACTGCTAGGTACGCAACAAGTGCTACTTGGATGGGTGGACAGCGGAATGGCAGGATCAGAATTGTCACCGTGTATTTCATGAATTTGGGGCTTCTGGAGCACCACGAAATCGTAGGCTTCAAGGTGCAAAAAAGACCTCAGATTTGTGAATCGACGGGTGGTTTGTAAAAGCAAAACATGGTCAGTATGCCAGAGGTGGCTCAGGAAGGCGTATTAGTTTCTACACGAAGTCTATTGTAATGTGTATTATTGGAAAACGCCTATCACGTTTTACTATTATTTCACCGATATCATTTCGTAGGTCAATAGGACTCTATTTAAAGTGTTAAGTGAAAAATGGAGACATTTTCTATGCAGCTCAAGACTATGCAAGACTAAAAATAAAAGAATATGCAAGACTAATGTATAGTGATTGAAGTAAGAACAGTGCTTACCTAGGGAAAGAAAGTTATTGCTTAAGGGAAACCTGTAAGGAACCCCCTTAGGTGATGGTTCTATATTTTCATCTGAGTGGTAAGTACAAAACTACACACATCAAAAACCCACCCAGCTATACACTGAAAAATATTGAACTTTACACATTTTAAAGGTGTATTTTTAATGTTGCATTAAAAATACTGGTACCAGTTATGACCAAAAAAAAGAAAGAAAGAAAGTGCAAATAGGCCAGAGAAACCTCCATCTAACAGTTTACTACTAGTGACTAAATACCTGAGAGAAGATATCATGAGTAACTATTACCTATACCAGGCCCTCCCACTGTTGAAAGTCCTAGAAATGCTCCAAATATTAAGCTGAAATGTGCTTCTTTGTGGAAGGGCCCAATTCTTGTATTAGTTCAGATAATGATAAAAGCCAATGCCAAACACACCCAGTTCTTCATGTGAAATTACTCTATTTCCAAACCACTTCATCATGCTTCTGGGCCTCTTCCACATTCAATCTAATCTCTCCTTGTCTGTATTTAAAAGCTGGCACAAAGAGAAGAGACTCCTGCATCCTAGTCTTGACTGTACCACACCGTGAGCAAGTCACTGCTTGAAAACCTCAGTCTCCTATAAAACAAGGGAGCTAAGCCTGAAATTCATTTGGAGCCTTATGTTTGATAATCCCTACTCCGAAAGCCTAGCTGGTCTGTCACAGAGGCTCATCTGGTATCTTTGTAGTAACTGCTGACAGTACCATTCCCTACTCCTCACTTCACTGGCATTTCCAGGAGGCTACAGAGGGCTTGAGAGTCCAGCACTTTTAAAAATTTTCTGTCTCTGTGGATCATCTGGAAGACTTGTTAATATGGATTCTGGCTCGGTATATCTGGAGTTTTGGCATGGTGCATTTCTCAAAAAGCTCCCTGCTTGCAGTTGTGTTGCTGCTGTTGCTTCCACTGCCGATGCTTCTGGTGGCATTTTAGGAGCCCACTTTGAGATGCAGAGATTTAATCTAAATTCCCTAAACAGCTCAGCCTCTCTGTCCTCTATAGGAAAATCTGTATGGCCTGTGTCTTCATATCATTCCGGTCATAGCTCAAATATCCGTCCTCAGAGAAATCTTCCTTGGCTGCTTTTTTTTAAAGAGAATTATGTTGTTTGTTGATTTCATATGAAATGGGGGATACGCTAGCTTCATTGCTGTCTATAATGTTATCTGGTGCCATTATTCAATTCTGATATAGTGCATAGTTTGTGCCAACAGTCTTTGTGTTTTGTTTTGGGTTTTTTTTTTTTTTGAGGTGCTAGGGATTAAATGGAGGGCCTCATTCATGCTAGGCAAGCACTGTATCACTTAGCTACACACCCAGCCCAATGATTATTTTTATAAGCAAACAATTCCTTAACATTTGACAGTAGTGAAGCTTAGAAGCTCTCAATACCAGCTGTCAGTTCAACCATACCAAAATTTCTAAAGACAATGGCTTTCTACCCAAGCAAGTTGTAAATAAATTTCAGACAAAACCTGGTATTACCCTAAAGGAATTCTAACTTTACACTGTTGAGGAAATTTGCCAAAATGATCTCAGAATAGAATAACTCCACATGGCACTTTTTAAAAATCTTTTTGAGACTAAGTGGGACTCGATATGCAGTTCAGGCTGGCCTTGAGCTCACTTCGTAGCCAACTGGTCTCAAACTACTAAGGATCCTTCTGCCTCAGTCTCCCTAGTACTGGGATGGTAGATGTGCACCACCAAACCTGGCTTGCTTTTTTTTTTTTTTTTTTTTTTTTTTTTTTTTGGCACTGGGAATGGAGCTCAAGACCTTGGGTTTGCCAGGCAGGCACCAAACCACTGAACTATACCCATGACCCCTGAGCTATACCCCAGCCCCACAAAGCTTTTTTTTTTTTTTTTGGTGAGGGGAGGCACTGGGGATCGCACTAATGACCTTCCACTTGCCAGACAGGAGCTTATGCCGCTGAACTAAATCTCCAGTTCCCAACAAAACACATTTTTAAAAACACATTTATTTGGGGGCTGGGGATTTAGCTCAGTGGCATAAGCGCCTGCCTTGCAAGCAGGCAGTAGTGAGTTTGATCCCCGGTATCGATAAAAAGGAAAAAGACAAAAAAAAAAAAAAAAAACCACATTTATTCAACATTATAAACTGTTATATTTAGAAATCAACAGCAAAAGTACAAACAAAACAACAGAAAACAAATCACTACTGTTCATTAAAATCCTTTGTTGTGATACTTTACATTTTCCACGGGACAAATTAAAATCACTTCTTAGCCAGGCCTAGCATTGCATGCCTGAATGAATTTGTACTGAAAGAGCTGCTATAATATGGTGCCTTAAAACTGAATGTCTCTGATAGTAAACAGTTTTTTCTTGAAGGTTCACCTAATATCTCTGTAGATGTGCCCCACTTCACAGAGTTCAGGTTTTATCATTTGCTTCATTTACTCTGTACCAGGAGAGGTGTAAGGGTCTTATGAAGCAGTGGTAGAATTTTCTATCTTTCCAACTGACCTAGATCTCCCCAACTGATTTATATGAGTTATAAAACCTAAAAATATAACAAGGATAAGCATCATTTTATAGAGTCCCTAGCAATGACCCCCCAAAAAAGTCAACAGGTCAAAGACCATCAATTTTTCTTGAGACAAATGCTTCCCAAAATGTCTACTTTTGTTAAAGAACACACTGGAACACACTTTTCTTGTCCAGCAGTGAACATTTTCTTGCTTTTGTGATAGAAATAGCATTTTGATGTTGAGTTGGAAATGTCCACTTTCAGCCTCTTGTTTGGTCTGAAGCCAACTTTTTTATAATCCCAAATCCATGACCTCAGCTTGTGATCCAAACCCTGCCAATCAACACATCCTGTCCACAGGCTACAGGGTTGAGTTCAGGGTTAGTGGCATGACCCCAAACACGACAATCAAGGCCAATAGGAATAAATTTTACCCTCTATTTGAACTGATGGGGAGGGTCTTTCTTGACTGGAATCTTTGTCCGCCTTAACTAGAATCTGGAAAGATATTCCCGTCAGCCATCTTGTCACCACAAGGAAAGAACCTTTGAGAATAGTCAGTACAGTGGAAAGATATAAAGAAAAACAATGTCCTGGTGACACTGGTTGAACTGCTGAGTTCAGCAATACCTGAAGCCAGAACAATCTGTGGACTTTTCAATTACATAAGCCAATAAAGTCCGTCAGTAGAGATTTCTGCTATTTACATCTGCAAGAATTCTAATTGGTGCACCACCTATGAGCTGATGGTGTCTCTCTGCTCAATTCTCTGATCTATTTCTTCTTTCAGCTAACAAATATTTATTGAGTATACTTTATGTAAGGCATTAGGATTGTAGGTAAATAGCAAAGTTTCTGTGTGTAAGAGACTCACAGTCAAGTGAGAGGAAACAGGCAAACCAAAAAGAGGTCAAATGAGTAAGCTCTTCATCTGTATCAATTAGCTTCCCATTACTGTGACAAAACACCGGAGATAAAAGGTGAAGGGGTTTATTTTGGTTCTCTAGTTTAGAGGTTTAAGTCATAGTATATCATGGCAGACGCACATGGCAGAAATGGCCTTTTTATTATATGGTGGCTTGGAAAAAGAGAGAGAAAGGGACCACCCCATAAAGGACCCACAACTTCCAAGTTGAGGGCCAAGCCATTAACTTGTGGGCCTGCATGGGCTATTTAGATTCTCACTACAGCAGCATCTGAGAGGATGACAGATAAACTGGATCTCAGAAGATAATCAGCCAGGTAGAGAGCAGTCAGATAGTGAAGGCGGTTAGGATGTACGCACACAGGTAAGAGAGCCCCTTCCGCAAAATACTAAAAGAAATTCAAAAATATGGCATCATCGGGGCTGGGGATTTAGCTCAGCGGCATAAGCGCCTGCCTTGCAAGCAGGCAGTCGTGAGTTCGATCCCTGGTACCGATAAAAACGAAAAAGACCAAAAAAAAAACAAAAAAAAAAAAAAAAAAATATGGCATCATCAGAAGAGCAACACGTGCAGGAAACTGGAGAAGTAAAAGGCAGTAGGTGAAGGAAGAAGAGCAGAAATCCACTCATGAGGGGCCCGATAAGGAGTCTGGTCTTTATTCTAAAAAGCAAGGGGACCTTTCA